CCAGATTTATTCAGCCTAAGAGTACTAGAAGTCCTATCAGGATTTAATATTGGTAGGTACAATCTTAGCAACATAAAATGTGCAGATGAAACTGTGTTGATAGCATACTCAGAAATGAAACTGCAAAAACTCCTTGATAAATTAATAAAAGCATGCAGTAAGGACAATTAAGTGTAAGAAGTAAGAATGTATGGTCAGCTCAAGGTGTCAGCATTAAAATTGGAGACCTCAAAATCAAACAGCTGCAGAAGTTTAACTATCTGGCTAGTATAGTAACAGATGATGGAAAATGTAACACAGCAATCTGAAGGCACATTGAAATAGTTAAGAGGTTAAATGAAGTATTAAGAGATAGGAATAATTTTGTTAAAATCAAAGAAAAAAGTGCTGAACTGCTATGTATGCAATGAATACTGAACAGTTTCTTTACAGATGATAAGAGTTGAAGCAACAGAAATCTTCTGCAAAAGAAAACAGAGAATACCTTGGACAGAATATATGAACACCAAGGAAGTTTTTAAGGAAAATGGAAACAAATGGCACTTATATTTTGAATCAGAAAGAAGTAATTTAAATTTTGAGGACATATAATGAGGACAGAGAGCATGGAGAATTTAATACTTACAATAGATAGTGAAGGCAAGAGGTACAGAGAAAAGAAGTGTGTAACATACCTAATGAGTTTATGTAAATGGATGACAGCAGAAACTGGGAAGCATTGTAGGGGGACAAACATTACTTAGAACTACAAAGAACAGGAAACTGTAGAGTTATGATCATTCAAGTTCTGAAAGGACATGGCATATAAAAAGGAGAAGTTACTAGTGTGTAATTTATATGCCTACATCTGATATGCCTGTTGGAATGTGGTTAACTTGATAATTTATTAATGTGATAAGCCTAGATAATCAGATTTGGTAATTAGTATTTTATTAGTATTCCAGTAGTACATGAGAATCTATCTTACTAAAAGTAAAATTCACTATTTTGAACTAAAAACTCAGAGGAAGGGAGATTTGCACATAAGTTAAGATGCTGACTAGAAAGAAATTAAGAGTACAGATGTTTACTCAGGATGAGAAGCTTAAGAGAGGGATGTCTGCTGAAAGAAAATAGATGAGCTTAAAAAACTGACATTTCTTAGCAGGCCATGTGTTATGAGAATTAGAAGATTAAAATATGCCACAAAGATGCCCATAGAAAGAGCCTAAGGGTAATAGCTGATAACATTGATATGAAAGTATAAAAATAGATTTTTATAGTAAAAATACCAGCAATACATTTTTGAAAAACAAAAAATATTACCAGCAATACATTTGACTCTCAACAAAAATCCTCTTTACAAAAATATGTCAATGAAATCTGATCTACAAACTGATTTCTTACAAAGAATACATATTCTGTTCATATGAACCAATCCTAAAAATTTTGTTGGCATTAAAAAAACTCCATTCAGGTTGATATGCCGTAAAACAAAATAAACCACCCTCCTGCCCTCCAAAAGTCAAGAGTGAAACTAGATTAATTAAATTTAAAGATTTCTTTCATGACAAAATGATTGATTGCTGCTTGTCACTCACTATTTTCTTTATCCATGAGAGGGTATCTGATGCGAAAATAAAAAAATATGCAAAGATGTTTGGGTGGATAGAAAAATGGATGCTGGAGAAATTATAATTTCACCAGATAAGATTAATTGGTCAAGGAGATCACATTGATGATGGAATTGGCAGTGAGAGATTCTTCAACCAATGCAAATATGAAAACTTGGAAGACATTCAAACAGGCCAAATTTGGAGAAGTTTGGAAAATGATAAATTTGGGATTTTTGATTATCAATCAAATTAACCCCAGCCACACTGAGTTTCCTCAATATAACCAGACCAATTTGGCCCTTCATTGCAGTCTAGTTGCCAAGGGAGATGCTGCAAGTTAACATCACCACCCTCTTTGCCACCTAATAACCTCTTGTAAGATATGGCGCAAAAAGAATTAGTCAACTGAAAAAGATTTTCTTCAGTTTAAGAAGTTTCCAGCTGTAAACTAATCATCTAGTGAAAGTGATGGAAGCCACCTTTGTCTAAAAGGTCTGAGACCAAACTTCCCTGATTGAATTGTTGAATCAACTACCAGTTAACAATATAAGGTATGGTTGTTTTTGTAATGTGGTATAACTGATGTCAGCACCTAAGAACTCAACAACCAGTTGTAACTTGGTAGATCAGAGTACCAAATTACTAGGAACAGTTAATTTGGTATTATAACTCAACTAATTTATCATGTTATGGTTTCTACATGCAAGAGTTATTGTCTATCCTGATAGTCATTTTTATATTCTTATAACTGACTTCATTCTTTAGAATGTTTCAAGACTTCCTCAGATCAAAAATGTAAACACAGTGTTAGTGGAGAATATTGTGACAGATGTGAAGGGATTAGGTTATAATTGACTGTAATTCCTGTTTTTAAGTTTTCATTTATGAATTTTCTTGGCAAAGCAAAAAAGAAAAATAAATTCACTGAGGATGAAATTCTCAACTGTTTTATTAATTTATACATTTATACTCATTTTGAATCATTAAATAGATTATGATTCCTAGCAATTTTATATTTAATCACTACAGTGCATATTAACAAAAAATTAGCTAATGTCAAAATATTTAATTTTTATACTGACTTGTTCCAAAACTATCCAGAAAAGCTTTTCAGTAGTATTTTGTTTTACATTTGAGAGATGTACACAAAAAAATCTGAAACTATTTTCCAGTAGAAAAAATGGAATGCTTATCATTATTATTTCTTTTTGTTTTTTTACAACTTGAGTTTTTAAAGCATCCACATAAACAACTATCTCATAAATTAGTCACAAGTAGAATAAATGCTAGAAATTTACTACTGAAACTTTCAAGGCCCTTACTTCTCCTCTCCACCCCCAGACACACTTTCGTTAATATTGCAGTCATTATTATGGAGTTGCACTATTCAGCAACATTTGGGTAAAGATTAGCCTACCACATACTGCAACTTGGCTTATAAAATTTGAGAGCTATTTTTTATTCATTTGTGGGCAATATAGGGGAGGATCCTATATACCATCAAATATGGTTTGATTCTGAGTAGTTTGGTTAGATTTTTCAATTAAAACAAAAACAATTTATTTTCCTACATAAAATGTACATTTAAAGCAAATCATATTCTAACAAAGAAATATAATTGAAACATTACCTGAATTGAATTCACTTACAAGAAAGGTGGTATTTCATAAGTACTTGTACGAATAGAAATGAAAACACATTGCACAGTGACAAATAGCTTGTTATAGTGTGTGTTTGCAATATACATACTTGACATTAAGCAAAGGATTTTGTTGAGATATTACCTTTAAACAAAACCTGAATGAAGAGATCACAAAATGGCAGCTCCAAGGAATGTTTAAAAGCTTAAGATCTCAATTTGTAAATAACTAGTAAGCATTATTCTTCTTCAAGAGAGATCAGTAATTGAAAATAATAACATTTAATAAAGGATGAGAACTATTTTCCATTTTAGATTAATTCTTGAACATAAAAGAAGTAAAACAATGCAACAACTAAACTGCTTTATTCTTTTTTGTAATTGTGCAAATAAAGTATGAAGCAGAAACTGAACTTGTTTAGACACTTGTAATTATTGAGTTGATGACATGTTTAAAATCAAAAGGATTCATATGAGCTGGGAGATATAATTTCATGTGAAAAGTGAGCCTGAAGCTACAAATAATACTGAAACAAAAATGACACAATCAGCAGCAAACCAGTGTATTAAAAAAAAATAAAATAAGTTTAAATACAAATGATATTTTTAAACAGCAAATTATTATGACTGCCACTTTCAGAACTTGTTCACAAAAATCAAATGATTTTAAATCAGCCATTAAAATATTTTGGGGGTTTAGAGAGAAGTTTTCAAATATTTTCTTAAAATCACAAATCTATACTGTCAGCTTTTCAAGTACTTTATACAAGTTTTGCACAAAGGTATTGATTCACAAGCATCCTTCACTTTGTATGTTTTATTTACATCATGTTCCACTTTTAAGAAATTATCCCATTCAAAAGGGTAACATTCTCACCCTTTATATCTTAGAAATACTGAATTGCTATTTCTCTTCTAAAAGTTTTTTTTTTCACTCTGTCTTCACTCAATTCTAAAATCTTTTCCTTCTCTTTCACTTCCAGCAGCCCCTTGCATCTTGCTGACATTATCACCTTACTTGGGGTGGGACTTCTTACTCTGTAGCCTTCTACCTTGAGTGCCTTTTGGGCCTTGTACAGAGTGAGCAACATTGTAAAAAAATAATAAATTCAGTACATAAGAATGTTTTTGAAAATTTTTTACTTACTTCATAAGAAAATATGTGAGGAAGTGCTAAAAAGTTCTAGTTTTCAAAATTTGAACAAATATCGAACTGTGTTTGTAGAGGGGCAGACATCTTGGTCAAGCTAATAACTTTTCAGTACTTTTTCATACAATGCTAAGAGCATTATATGAAGCTTAAGAATACGAGTTCAAAATGCATACACAATAATTTATTGAAAAAAATCCCAATAGAAATTAAAAATTCATTATCAAAAGTATGCATAAAAATTTGTGTTGTTGAAGGCTAATAGATATTTTATATTTTAGATCTTATTTAAGGATGAGATTATCAGTTTAACAAATCATTACTGAAGATGGAAAATTATTTTTATTTTATCTGGTATCATAATACAAAGATTGTTAAATTTCAATATCATTTTCATGCATCTGGAAACAATGCTATTTTCCATTTTATTATCTATAAGTCGTCAGGAGAAGTCTATATGACTTGTGGATATTTCAGTATAACTGGAGTATTGTTTTATGAGTTTTAATCAAAATATTTTATACTGTTACTTTAATTCAATCTTTAATCAAAATATTTTATACTGTTAATGCTATTTCATATTTATATATTTTAATGCTATTTGTTTTTATTTCAGGATTATTTTATAGCTGTAAATAAAAAGTAGTCAACATGGCTGGAAAAGCAAGAGTAATGACTTATTCTTATAAGACAATCTATCTGTTATTTTTATCAATTCTTGTAACTACTTTAGTTGGAACTGTCATCTTATTTTGGCCTCCATCAGAGAAACCTACCAAGGCCTATCATTTCTCATTTCATACTGCAGACAAGAGCGGAGAAATAAAAATTCTTCCAACTGATGTTCATCCACTAGCACGTAATCAACAATGTTCATTCCACACTTGTATGGATGTTTACCATTGTGGATATAATGATCAGACAAAAATTAGTGTGTACCTATATCCTTTTAAGAGATATGTTGACGAGAAAGGTATAGGTATTGCTCATCCTATTTCTCCTGAGTTTCTGGAAATTGTTCAGACAGTCGTGAAAAGCCCATTCTACACACCTTCTCCTGAGGCAGCATGTATATTTGTTCCTTCAATTGACATGCTGAATCAAAACAACTTTAGAGTTGAGGAGATGGGTCAAGCACTGGCTACTTTGGATTGGTAAGTAAATCTTTTATTTATTATTACAGATCTTTCGTTTATACTTTTTTTTTTTTTTTTTTTTTTTGCAATGATGGATCAGATGATTACATATTTAGTATAATTTAGGCTTTTGTATGTTAGAAAGTTTTTCACAAAAAACATTTTTCAGTTTTAACTTGGATTATAAAAACAAAAGAGATTTGCTTGCTATTTTATAGGTTGACTTGAATAAAATATTTCTATAATGTTGAATTGATTGATTTGTTTTTTTATGACTTATCAACCATTTGCAGGTTATTTAAAGCCAGAAAATATTTTTAGAGTGTAAGAATGTTTTGGAGATAATAATTTACTGGTATATATCCTACTAATTAACCCATAAATAGTGGGAAAAGATGTGGATTTATACCTTTCCCAAACATGTTTGCACATAAGTGGATATAATGAACACAACTAGAATTGAACTCAGCATTCTGATTTCTAATTGTGAGCTGTTATGCATTACCCCACCAGCGCATCCAAGCATACAGCATCTGGTATTCTCAAGCAGTCACCCCTCTAGATAATAACCAAGCTTGATGTTGCTTAACTTTGGTGATCATACAATAATCAATATTTCAAGTGATATGGCCATAAGTCCTGCTATAATAGTAGAATAAAGTTTTTTTATAGATTTTAATTTTGATCTACAAGAATGACACAATAGATATGAAGCCTGACAAGTAGTTATTAACTGAATGCAGTTTGAATTTTCATTATAATGTTTGATCTGTCAGATTCAGATTTATCACTATCTGCATTGACAAAGGAGATTATATTTTAAAAATATTTATTCTATAAAAATCATTGAATCACCAGTTCTCATCCAATCACTAAAGTTAAACAATGTTGAGCCTGGTCAGTACTTAAATGGGAGTCCACTTGGAAATATCAGCTTGGATGTATTGGTGGTATGATGGATAATGTCTCAGAATGAGAAATCAGAGAGGCTAATTTGGATTTCAGTTGAAGTTGTTACATTTCCTTACATACAAATACCCTTGGGAAAGGTAGGAATGCATCTCTTCTTCTCCTAGCTATGGGTAAAATAGCAAGACAGACTGGGTCCCATAGCCTTGGTTGGCAACCATTCTACTGCAGAAAGTAATGACAGCCTACTGCAAGAAAATCTCCCTAGTCAGTCATAAGCATGTATCATGCATGGTACCAAAGGAAGGAAGGAAGGAAGGAAATAAAATAAGTGCTTTGTTCACTACTAGGTTGCAGATTTGAAATTAATTTTTCTGTAAAGTGAAAGAATGTTAAGATGTTATTAAAAGTTATAATTTACAGTATAATCCAAAAAGAACTAAAAATATGAAAATATTGGTTTGACCAAAAAATTTGTTTGGTTTAAGTAATTATAAAAAACAGCTTTGTTTTGTTTTTGTTTTCAACATTAACACCATATTTACTCTTTTGTTGCATCATCTTTTGCCATCTTTCAGGCAATTTCATAGCTTCATCCTCCCAAAACTTTGCATTTTTCTCAGCAAACAGTTGCTCTGGGTGACATGCAGTCTTCCAGAAACTGTTTTTTTTTTTTGTTTAAGAGAATTCTGTAAAGACTACAATGTGGTAATCCGGAGATGTACTATCTAGTGTATCCAAACTTTTCAGCCAAGCTGTAACAATTTTCTTCTGCTCACCAAAGTAGCATAAAGTCTAGCATCATCCTGATCAAATATTACACCATTTCTGTTAATCATTTCTACAAGCATTTTTGTTGTTTGCTGCCTTCAGTTGGTCTAATTGGGAATATTACTTGTTTAAATCGGTTTGTTTTTCAGAAGGATCTAACAACAGAGGACTCCATATATTAAGCATCACCTACTTTGGATGAAAACCAGATTTTGCTATGCTTTAGAATAATTCATTTCATTTGGCACATGGTCTCTTACATTCCATGTCATTGTAAAATATCCACTTTCATTGCCTTTCACATTTAGATTAAAAGACAGAACATTTCATTAAATTTATGTAGCAACTCACACATGGAAATACAGTCTAGTAGATTTCTTTTCACATATGCTAGTTACACTTCAAATTTGACTAGAATAATTAAGCTGATGAAAATGATTTTCAGCACTTGACTTGGCTATCTCCCTTGTTGTATAACATTGATTATTTTCAGATAATGCCTTGATTTGATTGCTGTCAACCTCAACTGTAGTCTACCTGATCATGAAGCATCATTCAACAAAATTTTTATAACTTAAAAGTAAAACTTATCAAACCACTTTTCATATGTTTGATCATTCACAGTACCTTCTTCATAAACTGTACAAATTATTAGTAGCAATTATTGGCATATGGATGTTAATATATATAGGAGTTTGAAATATTACAGCCACAAAAAACATGGCTGTAATATGAAATAAAAGCTTTTTTCTTACTAAGTATCTTTATAGTCTACATACATTTTAGCTAACATTGAATGTCCAGATATAATGAATTTTATTTTTACATTCCCATATAAAATGGGGTCATATCTTATTTATTCATATATCCTATAGGCCAATCAAATAGAGTTTTAATTTCTCCCATAATCATGAAAAGAATACTTAGTATTTTGAATTGATAAATTCAGCGAAATGTAAATAAAGGGAACAATTTCCGTTTCAAATTTTCCTTAATTCTATTTTCACTTTTTTAATTTTCATGGGAGAATTGCGCCAAAATATACTATATAATTATTAAAACAGGGCATGTAAAAATAAAATTAAAAAATTTTATTACATGTAAAGAAATAGCAGTTATCTAAAATGACAAATTCAAATCAAGAAAGAAATTACATATAAAAGTAAAAAAATAAATTAATGGTTAGTTACAATCTGTTGTGAATGACAATTAAAAACCTCCCCTCCCCAAATTTATAGATAAATTCTACAAATATATACTGGGATTTCTTCTCAACTAATAAAAAATAGACAATTCATGGTCTTACTTTTGTCCTTTCTTGCTTTGAAATCAGAAAGCTATTATCACTTGACTATATCCTTTTTGTATGTGAACTTTTTGCTTTATTTCTATCTTGAAGTTGTTTTCTTTTCCCATTTTTTACCTTCTTCCTCTTATTATTGTTAATTGAAAATTTTGTCAATTACATTTAACCATGCCCACTTACATGACAAGATGATAAAACAATGGAAGTGTATAATTATCTTTTGAGGTAGAATTTTATTCTGTAAAAGCAAATATTTAAATTATTATGCATCCAAAAAGTAATATTTTATTTAAATAGAGTGACTTAGATTCAATATTGAAAAGCAATAAAATCATAAATTTAAAGAATCATCGCCAAATAAGTTGTAATCAATAATAAATATCTGAGTAAGTAAAAAGATTTTAACATTTTGCAAAAATAACAAGATAATTGAATCATTGTTACAAAAAAGTCAGTAAGTTAAAAATATTAATTCAAACTCTGCTAAATAAACAACTCGTCTCAAGTTGAAGTATCAATGTTGTTGAAATTTGTCAAAAAATAATTTATTATTGCACTTAAAACTTGGGATAGCACCCTGTTCCTTGCGATGCTCTAATATAAACAGCGTAATTTTGTTAATTTTTTGTTGTGGATGTCTAAGTACACATTTTCAAAAAATCAAGGACAAAATCATTCTGCATCTCTTTAAACCTTAACAAAGTCGCATATGTCTTTTGTTTTAGTATAAATATGATTTTGAATGCTTTTTTTGCTAAATGAGTTTTTGATTTTAGGTGATCTTTGCTAGTGTAAGCCCTAAGAATATTAATACTACCGAGATAGTATTTGCAAAATGATACATTATCTTTTGCATAAAAATTATCAGGAAATCGTTCTATATTGATTTTAGCACAAATTTTATATGATAGGGTAAATTGTTTTCTTTTTTTCTTTGGGAGCACATCAGCTTTTTTAGGCTGAGGTCATAGATGATTCACTAGATTCCTTCATCTTGGCAATATGTTTTTTTTTTGTTTTTATTCATATTGGATAAGCAAATTGTTTAGATGTTGCATAAAAGAAAAAAATCTTTAAAAAATATGAAAAAGTGCTCTAAATATTTACATTATTTACATTGTTTGGAGTGTTGCCCTCATCTTCATTGTCATATTCACGATATTTCAGCCATTGTTTGCTCAGGCCTTCTTCAGGTGATATATGTTGAAATTTCAAACTGAACTCTTTATTTAGTCCCCAGAGGTAGATTACAATACCTCATCTCAGAAATACAAACAGATGCTCTAAATATATTTTGGAATATAATAATAGTTAATGTATTATTAAAGGATTTTTTCTATAAATTTTAAAATTTCTACAAAGGCAATGATGCAATTATAAATTCATGTAAGGTACTAAGTAGCTTTCTAGTAGATGACTATAATTTATTGCTAAAGTAGACACAGGAGGATAGACAAATCAAGTAACTGGTATTGGAGTAGAAATTGGAAGTGGTAGGAATAAAAATGAAAATGATTCAAGTTTAACAAATAATTAAAAAAGTTACAAGGTGTTTATAATGTTGTAAAGATTGTGAAAGTCAAATGTTTGGAAAGGAAATGAATATGAAGGTAAACTGATGAAAATCTCGATGAATACATTCTTTTGTAGTGTTTTGATGAAAGAAAAAGTTAAGAATTCTTTGAATGTCATGGGAGAGTGTCTACTGCTTACAGTTTATGCACCAACACCTGTTACCTGATTTATCTATTGTCAGCTCTGTCCCATCTGTTATGAAACTACTCAGTGTCTTTTAAAATTATAAAATAGTTAAAAATGGAACTACATAAGTCTAGCTAAGATGTAATTGATATAAACAGTTTTGTTCTTAATATTTTTGTGTCTTGAACAAAAAAAAAGACGAGAACAAATATTTGTAAAAACAAATTTTAATATAACTATGTTCATTTATTAAAGAATATTAAATAAAATTGCAGAGACAGTTATTAATTTCTGAATGAATACAAGAATAACAAATGTTTAATTTATTATTATTGAAAATTACATAAAAAAAAACAGATTCTTCTGCAGATTTGTGGATTCATGATTCCATCTGTGATTCTATTATCATGGAAAATGGGTTCCTCTTCATCCACTATAGTATGTGCTTTCTCATTAACTTTTACCCCCTTCAGCTTCCTCATTAATTTTTCATATTAATGTCTCCTCTGATACCATCGAACATATTTACTTCATAATGATTCTTTTTTTACCTTTTTTTTTCCTAGCACTGATAAACTTTTGTTTGAGCAAAGTGAACAGTCCTATCTATTATCTCATTGGCAAAAATCCACCAAATCTTTAAAATCAATCAATCTAGATGGATAGTTTACACAGGATTGGAAACGAAAATGCTTTCAATGTCAAATCACTACTCATAATCAGTAGATGAAAGTAATTACATTTGTTGATCTCCATTGTCAGTCAGTCATCCTTTATCTGTGTGCTTAACTTTCCTCTGCCTTTAAGGACTCTGTGCAACATGGAGATAACAATGTTTTACAATTAAAAAAAAATATATTTCTCATTCTGGGCTAAGTCAGTCAGACAATAGAGTGCAGATTCTAATTTTTAAGATGATTTTTACTCTTCAAACAGAGAGCTACTATGGACATATTTAAATTATTCAGGCAAATCAGTAACCAAAATGCTTACCCTCTCCATAGATATTGACAACTAAAATTATTCATTGTCTCATGCTTCTGCTCTTCTCTCAGCCTTTGTCTGTATCTTCTCATTCTCTCCCTATTCAATTCCAATCTTTTTTGCTTGTCCATGTTTTTATCTAAATGTTATACAAATAATAAATAGTACAAATAAAATACACCACCACCACTACTACTACTACTACTATTATTATTAGGTACAGTAATTTGTGATTTATCAAAGAAAAATAGTATTTTTATGCA